CAGTTATCATTAAACCTCATAGCTATCAGACACATTTCAGTTATCATTAAACGTCATAGCTATCAGACACATTTCAGTTATCATTAAACGTCATAGCTATCAGACACATTTCAGTTATCATTAAACGTCATAGCTATCAGACACATTTCAGTTATCATTAAACGTCATAGCTATCAGACACATTTCAGTTATCATTAAACGTCATAGCTATCAGACACATTTCAGTTATCATTAAACGTCATAGCTATCAGACACATTTCAGTTATCATTAAACGTCATAGCTATCAGACACATTTCAGTTATCATTAAACGTCATAGCTATCAGACACATTTCAGTTATCATTAAACGTCATAGCTACCAGACACATTTCAGTTATCATTAAACGTCATAGCTATCAGACACATTTCAGTTATCATTAAACGTCATAGCTATCAGACACATTTCAGTTATCATTAAACGTCATAGCTATCAGACACATTTCAGTTATCATTAAACGTCATAGCTATCAGACACATTTCAGTTATCATTAAACGTCATAGCTATCAGACACATTTCAGTTATCATTAAACGTCATAGCTATCAGACACATTTCAGTTATCATTAAACGTCATAGCTATCAGACACATTTCAGTTATCATTAAACGTCATAGCTATCAGACACATTTCAGTTATCATTAAACGTCATAGCTATCAGACACATTTCAGTTATCATTAAACGTCATAGCTATCAGACACATTTCAGTTATCATTAAACGTCATAGCTACCAGACACATTTCAGTTATCATTAAACGTCATAGCTATCAGACACATTTCAGTTATCATTAAACGTCATAGCTACCAGACACATTTCAGTTATCATTAAACGTCATAGCTACCAGACACATTTCAGTTATCATTAAACGTCATAGCTATCAGACACATTTCAGTTATCATTAAACGTCATAGCTATCAGACACATTTCAGTTATCATTAAACGTCATAGCTATCAGACACATTTCAGTTATCATTAAACGTCATAGCTACCAGACACATTTCAGTTATCATTAAACGTCATAGCTATCAGACACATTTCAGTTATCATTAAACGTCATAGCTATCAGACACATTTCAGTTATCATTAAACGTCATAGCTATCAGACACATTTCAGTTATCATTAAACGTCATAGCTATCAGACACATTTCAGTTATCATTAAACGTCATAGCTACCAAACACATTTCAGTTATCATTAAACGTCATAGCTATCAGACACATTTCAGTTATCATCAAGCGTCATAGCTATCAGACACATTTCAGTTATCATTAAACGTCATAGCTATCAGACACTTTTTGTGTTTGCAACACCCTGAGATTTAAAAAAAAATCTTATTGTATGATTTGTTAGTCCGAAAGGCTCTGATTATCTATCGGCAATTTTATCTTTGCCTTGGTCGCAATTCACAGAAAAAAGGTAGACAAAAATGAAATAGTGGTGAGATAGTCATAATCCTTCGTACTACTACCAGATAAAGTTTTTAGAAACTAAACTGATAATTTCATTTAAATATAATGTTGGTTGTAGATAACCCTGTCATTTTTGTTCCCAGTAGATAACCCTGTCATCTTTTTTCCCAGTAGACAACCCTGTCATCTTTGTTCCCAGTAGATAATCCTGTCATCTGTGTTCCCAGTAGATAACCCTGTCATCTGTGTTCCCAGTAGATAACCCTGTCATCTTTATTCCCAGTAGATAACCCTGTCATCTTTGTTATCAGCAGATAACCCTGTCATCTTTGTTCCCAGTAGATAACCCTGTCATCTTTGTTCCCAGTAGATAACCCTGTCATCTGTGTTCCCAGTAGATAACCCTGTCATCTGCGTTCCCAGTAGATAACCCGGTCATCTGTGTTCCCCGTAGATAACCCTGTCATCTTTGTTCCCAGTAGATAACCCTGCCATCTGTGTTCCCAGTAGATAACCCTGTCATCTGTGTTCCCAGTAGATAACCCTGTCATCTCTGTTTCCAGTAGATAACACTATCATCTTTATTCCAAGTAGATAACCCTGTCATTTTTGTTCCCAGTAGATAACCCTGTCATCTGTGTTCCCAGTAGATAACCCGGTCATCTTTATTCCAAGTAGATAACCCTGTCATCTGTGTTCCCAGTAGATAACCCTGTCAACTTTGTTCCCAGTAAATAACCCGGTCAACTTTGTTATCAGCAGATAACCCTGTCATCTTTTTTTCCCAGTAGACAATCCTGTCATCTGTTCCCAGTAGATAACCCTATCATTTTTGTTCCCAGTAGATAACCCTGTCATCTTTGTTCCCAGTAGATAATCCTGTCATCATTGTTCCCAGTAGATAACCCTGTCATCTTTGTTCCCAGTAGATAACCCTGTCATCTTTGTTCCCAGTAGATAACCCCGTCATCTTTGTTCCCAGTAAATAACCCGGTCAACTTTATTCCCATTAGATAACCCTGTCATCTTTTTTTCCCAGTAGACAACCCTGTCATCTGTGTTCCCAGTAGATAACCCTATCATCTTTGTTCCCAGTAGATAACCCTGTCATCTTTTTTTCCCAGTAGACAACCCTGTCATCTGTGTTCCCAGTAGATAACCCTATCATCTTTGTTCCCAGTAGATAACCCTGTCATCTTTGTTCCCAGTAGATAACCCTGTCATCTTTATTCCCAGTAGATAACCCTGTCATCTGTGTTCCCAGTAGATAACCCTGTCACCTTTGTTCCCAGTAGATAACCCTGTCATCTGTGTTCCCAGTAGATAACCCTGTCATCTTTGTTCCCAGTAGATAACCCTGTCATTTTTGTTCCCAGTAGATAACCCTGTATACTGGGATATTATTGCTGCAGGTAATTTTCACCCTTAAAGCATAAAAATTAAATTGAGGGTGAAAGTTTCCAACCAGTTATTGCCAGTATATAATCAAGCCACTTGTTTCCAATAGATTATTCAGTCAGTAGAAAATGTTGGCATATTTCTCCTTTGTGAAAAGGCTATAGACAGAAATAATGAACTTTAGTCTGAAGGAAAACTACAGGTTGAGATGTCTTCACCACTCAGAAACTGAAAAGGTTATCTTTTTGGCATCCGTTTCCTCATATACCAATATTCACAGTTAGCATACCTGAACTGTAAATTTAAGCATTGGATCGCTGTAATATTGTATTTATTGTCAGTATGATTGCAATCCGGTTCACAATCATGACATCCTATCAGGTATTATTCTACCTATCTAACATGTCGTATTCATATTGAAAATAAATACAATCTGACAGACATTCAATGGTTAAGTAATCAAACAGGCCCAATGGGTCTGCATCGCTCACTTAACAATAAATACAACTGGGGTTATTATCAGATGTGGGCTTACTGACAGATACAATGTTAGTATATATATATTACAGAGGAGTTTCTGTGTTTCACCAAAACAAAAAATGTTAAGTCTCTGAAAAGTCCACGACTTTTATTCACATCATAAAATAATTACATACATGTCAATTAATGAAGATGATTTTAAGAATGGTGTCTGTATTTCATCAAAACGAAGAAGTGTTAAATCTGTGAAAAGTCCACGACTTGTATTTACATCATAAAATAATTACATACAACTAAATGAATGAGATGATTTTGAAAATGATTTCTCCTCTTGGTGAAGAATAAACAAGATTTCTTCTCATGACATTAGACATAAACTGAAAAAGATGAACACAAATTCTATTGTTGGGTGTGGAACACATACTAGTAATTTATTTTGTTTGTAACAAGTACTTTACAGTTTATCCTTTACATTCCAGGTGTTTTCACTTCCAGCCAATAAAAAAACTGTTCTTAGTGGTTGAATCTTGGAGAAAAATCTATGACGATATATTCCCCAAAGCATGTGGCTGGATTTGGATAAACAGATGGAAATTCATTGTTGCTGAATAAACGTATTATCTAAAATCTACTTGGAACAAAAACTGTATCTCAACTTCTAGCAGCAAATGAAAAAATATCAAGATAATCTCTACAAATCAAATGTCCTTTTCCCACGTTGTCAATAATTCTAAGTTCTAACTTAATAGGAATGTGACAATAAAAACATCATTGAATTGGACCATTTTATCTGTAAATTGATATACATAAATGTGTATACCCATTTTTTCAAAATTGGCTATTTAAAGTTTGGGAAGGTTCTGCATTTTACAATTTTACTGAAAACTTATAATAACCAGAACATGATTTCAGGATTAATCCTTGACATCAAAACCTTACCTTTGAACTATGCAAAGTTTTTCAATCTATCTGACATTATTATCATCTATTTTGTAAATTTTGCTCAGAGTCATAGTATAATCAACAATTTTTGAATATATGATACTACACTAATATCATAGTGTATTCACTCTGAGACTACAATGGCAATCACAAGCCTCTTGGTTTGAACGATTTAAGTATCATACTCTTATTAACTATGTGTATTCCTTAATATGCTTTTAAGTCTGCATTAGCTAACATATCTTTACACTAGGCATCCTATCTCTAAAAAAAACTTTGAAACTTTGACCAAAGATAGACTGAATATTTTCCATCACAGAGATCTCAATGATCAGTAGCCAGGATAAGTTCAGATTAGAAAATATTTAAAAAGAATCGCATTCTGTCATAACTCTTTCAAACTATCAACAGATGAATATTTACCCAGTATGAATGAAAGACTTAAGTCTGATCTCAAGTTCTCTTTGTGATTATCACGCAGGAAATCACCATCCTCAAGAAAAAACATCAATATATTGATAGACAATAACGACCTAATACTCTTGCTTCTTGATCCATGCTTAACCAATAAAACATCATGAATATGAGAAAAACACCAATAAAGCCTAGAGGCACTTTCTCAACAACTCCCATGGAGTGGATGTACTGATGGCAACTGACTGTCTGTTGAGTTTGATTTCATCTGCCTGTGAATCCAGAGAATACCCAGTAATGAATTAGTTGGGAAATCTGTTGTCTATCACATGTTAACTCGAGATTCTTCCCAAGGTGTTTTAGTTGTAACATTCCTCTAGGTAACACATAGTCATGCTTCAGTACATTGGGGGCGGTGGGGGTCGCCCCTGGAAGGGAGGTCGAGGGCCTCTGGGTGGGGGTCCTCTCATTGGACCACGTGGTCCACTCGGGGGTGGTCCTCTCATCCCTGGATGAGGAGGTCGGCCTGATAAAAGGAAAAAAAATATTATCATTAAGAAGAATACAATATCCTTTAAAGAATTGTTACCATTCTAGAAAATTTACAAAAAAACAGATATAAATCAGAAACCATATTATATTATAGAATTGCAGCAAAGCAGTTATACGTTTTAAGAAACATGTCCAATGAAAACATTATTTAAGATTTTTACAATGAGACATACTCAGAATTTATTACAGAAAGCTACGAGTCTTTCACCTACCAAATGGTGGCCCACCTGGTCCCCTTGGTGGGGGACCTCTCCACCCTGGGGGTGGGGGTCTCATTCCAGGATGGGGCGGCATCCCCATGTGTTGCATCCCTGGGGGTGGGGGCATGCCAGGAGGCATACGTGGTGGCTGATTCGCTGAAATGGACAGAGAGAATATAATAATAATTCACGAATTATCAGTCCTAGCATAACCAAGATCATGATATATTTTTCTGTATATACTGTATAGTATCGTTGTTTGATAAAGTTAATGGTAACTTTCACCTAGAGACTGGAACTCATCCAAGGAATAGTCCTAATATTGTTTGACCACATAAGTAGGTTGTTGAAAGGTTCGGATTCGAAATGGTATTGGAAGAGGAGACAGGGAATACTTAATCAAGCTACTTCTGGTTTGATAACAGGTTTGGTTTTGTGTTGATGTTGGGTTGGAGGTTGGTAGGAAACATTTTCTCTTTATGAGGATGTTGTGTTGGGATTAGCTAAGGAATACTTAACCAAGTCACTTGTGGCTTGTTGGCAGGTTAGGGTTTATGAGGATATTGTGTGGGGGTTTGCTAAAGAATGCTTGACCAGATCACTTGTGTGGCTTGTTGGCAGGTTAGGGGATTATGAGGATGTTGTGTGGGGGCTTGCTTGGGGTTTGCTAAGGAATACTTAACCAAGTCACTTGTGACTTGTTGGCAGGTTGGGGTTAATGACTCAGTTGGATGATAGGGTTGGTTGGAAACACAGTACTCACCAAAGCTAGTTATAACTTGTAGACAGAATGGGGTTTGTGGTAATGTTGTGTGGGAGTTTGCTAAGGAATACTTAACCAAGTCACTTATTGGCTAGCTAGGCTTTGTGAATATGTTGAATGATTCATTGGAAGGGAATACTTACCCGAGCTGCTTGTTTGTGCTTGACTGGTTGAGGTTTGTGAGGTTGGAGGAGGAGGTTGTCCTTGACCGTATTGGGCCATCACACCTATCAAAACAAACATTGTTTAATCAAGTATCAATATGAAATCAGTAAATCTACAGTCTCGTCCAATAGGGAAACAAACTGAACAGTTTTCTCTTATTACATTAGTTTTTTGTAAGATAAGTGGAATCATACACTCACATCATTGTTACACATCATATAAAAATCTCGTAACTTAAATCATCACTCTTCAAAAGATGTGTGTTGTATTGACCAACAGACCTTTGTTAATAAATCTATTTCACATGTTCACAACCATTAATATGCCCCATTTCAGCAACTTTATCTCCTTGTTAGAACATACCTGGTGGAGGTGGCATTCCTGGTGGAGGGAAGGGTGGCATCCCCATGGGTGGCATGGGTGGTGGTGGCATTGGCATCTGCTGTTGACTGGAGTTTGGTGGTGGCACAGGTGGTGGCATCATGCCAACAGAAGAACCCATACCTGTGTGTATATAAATTGAGAATCATCTTCTGATCTATATAGATCTCCAAGACAACTGGTGATACTGCTTACTACTTGGGGATATATCAAACTCAAAAGTTCTTGAAAAATAAAACACAAGGACCTTGGGAATTAAGATAACACCAGTTACTAGACTACAGAGCGTAACTGGTTTTGTGCCAAATCAGCATTTTGTTTCATATCTATTGTACCACATATTAGGCAGCTTTCAGTTATATGAACAGATGTTAATATCAATTTGGTTAGACATGCAACAATTTACAAATCAATCTGACTAGTATTACGGATTTAGGAACTCCTGAACTGGATAGAAAATCCAGACACTGGATCTATCAGAATTATTTTTGCTGAGGAACAGAACAATTAGTGATACAATCAACCCTTTACATCTTTAAAACATGTTTTAAGGTATTTACCACCAAGTTGGAAAATTTAATCCATCAATGTATGATTATTTGTAAACTGTATTAATAAAAACAAGAGTACCGCAAAGCGGAACAAAATACGCCCGTGAATATCTAAAACAAAGAAGATAATTCAAGAATTACAGTGCTCCACCTGGTGTACTTTGATGGAAGTCAAAGGTCGAAGGCAAGGTCACAGTGACCTACTTTTGGTACACGACACACCGTCTCACCATGGTGCACCCATGTTTCAGTATCAAATGGTGTAGGACAAGGCTTTTCTTTGATAGAGGTCAAAGTTTCACCATGGTGCATTCACATGCCAAGATAAGTTCCAGTATGAAATTAACATTGGTTAGAGTAAATATTCAGACAAGATTTCTATAGTGAAATAGACAAAGGGGCATAACTCTTATTCAAATTGTCTAATCAAAACCCCATTCAGGAAAACACAACTTCATATGGTGATTAAGCCTACCAAGTTGCATAAAGATTGGCTGAAAAATGTAGGAGGAGATCTCCGGACAAATAAAAGTTTACGACGGACGCCGGACGGACGGATAGCGCCATACCATAATACGTCTGTGTTTCGACGGGCGTATAAAAATGATAGGATTCTAAACTAAGACCTAGATCATTATATGTACTGTATACATACAATAATAATCCAAATTTTGTTGTCATTGTATTGAAACTCTGCATTTTCATTAACCATTCAACTAACTTTAAGACGCATGAAAACCATACATTTTGTATTTAACGTTAATCTATATCTACTTTCTATTTCTGTCCTATTGGCGAAGGGTAATCTGAAAGCATACAGTAAACAATTATCATAATTCTACTTACCTTGGTTTGGGCCAGTATTTAATCCCATTGGTGAGGGAGGAGGAGGGGGTGGGGCTATAGAAGAGGGCGGAGCTGGAGCTGGTGGTTGCTGTGGAGGGGGAGGGGCATCAGCAAACAGCTGATGAGGCCTGTCTGTCAGTGAGAGTGGATTCTGCTGTGCTAGGAGACGCTCTGAAAGAAATTAAACGACATAAATAAAGTGCCCTCTAGAAGGTGAAACTGTCCTTTCTAACTAATTCCAGGTGAAGTTTCATTATATTAAATCCATCAAACCTTACTTTGGTTTTTAATTATCAACCCAATAAAAGTGACAATCTAGAAAGTGAAATATCAACCAGAAATTCATGCAGCTTATGTCTTGCTGCTGTTATTTTGATGTAATAAAATGATGGAATCTCTTCAGTTATAGAAATCATGAAAAGAAATTCTGGTTTGATCATCAAAACCCTCAAGAATTTGACATAAGTATGTTTCCCATGAGAGCGCTTCTTCATTAGATCAGGAAAACACAAACATGTTTCGATCATTTTTGGTTTTATTATGTTTTTATTGCACAATCAATTACCAAAGTTCCATAATGATGAAATGAAGGTAAAATTCAGAACCTGACGTGTGAGTTGGGATGGCCATACATACTGTGACACAGGCTTTTTAAAGGTTGGTTATGACAACATTTAAACTGTACTTGGAGAAAAATCAAGCTCTACATCAAGTTACTTAATCACTTACATTTTATGTGAGATTTATTTTTGTGTTTATATGCAAGGAGAGTCAATCATGATTTTAAATCCTTGCAAGTATTTGTGTGAATGGTATTCTGGATGGTATTAATTTTGACTCGGTTACCAATATGTAAGTCTTGCAGAGTCCATGTCTATAATAGCTCATCATTTGAGAATTTAAAGTAATTTCTAGATCATCATTTGCAAAATAATGTATTTGCGAAAAATGTAAGAAGAGTTAAGGCCACAAACTAAAGTATTTGTGAAATTGAAGTGATTTTACAGTCTATGTAAAACTTAAACATTTTACAATAAATGAAGAAGAATAAGCTGTAAAGTGTTGGTAAAATTCAGAATCTGAACTGTGTCTTGGGATAGGCATACATTGATATAAGTACAATACAAGTTTGGTTCAACAGTTCAAGGAAATAAAGCTTAACACCAAGCTAAACCAAAACTTTTTTGGTTGGGTTTGATAATTCAAAAAGTCCTATCAACTACCAGGTATAAACTAATGTCACCATGGTAACCATGTGCTGAGGTGATTTTGCTTTGATGTAACTTTATAACATTATTGAATAACTAAAATGTTTACAATGCCATCTCTGCCACTCCTTAATAGGTAACAACTAACTCCTGCTCCACAACATAAATGAGCCAAATAACAAATTTTCTAGCCTATGATTTTTCATAATTAGATAATTCATATTCTTGAAATTCATCAAATTTCTAGATCATTGTTCTGATTTCAGATATTCATTGTAAGATCAAGTATTTACTAAAATTTGGTGGCTCTAGCACTTATCTGTTCTGAAAAATTTGGTGTGGATGTCAATCAAAAATTAATATTAGTAGTTAATTTAACTCTTACTTCTCAACAAAACATATAACTTGAAAAACTGGAAACTACTTAAAAAATCTCTGAACAATACATATTTTTATTTTATATAGAACAACAATTTGACAAGCATGTGTCTGCTTGTACAGCTTTTGCTCAGATCATGAAATAAGCTGTAACTGATAAGGGGAAATAACTCAATATTTGTTAACACGATAAGTTGTAGAAATTAGGTATGCCTGTGATAAAGGCCAAATGAACATTTTGCAACAAGGAAGTGAAAGAAAGTGATGTTTAATGTCTGATCAACACATAACGGTCATTTACTGACAGTATCAGCTGTGTAATGGTGGAGGAAACTGGAGTAAACCACTGAGTGTCAATAGCGATAACATTCCACGATAATTGGTGAAAATACTCAAGTTATTGTTCCATCAATTTTACAAATGCAATTACTAAATACATAACAGGCAAATAATTTTTTGTTATTAAATTTGTCCGAGCTATGGTGGAAATGAACCACCACATGAAGTTAGAATCATATCTGAGAAACACCTAGAGATATAGAGTGGAGACTGTTAAGGTAATGGAAATATTGGGCTATAACTTTGTGAATTACTGGACAAAAGTTGCAGTTATCCAACTTGTCCTAACTATAATGGTAATGAACCTTCCTATGAAGTTTGAAGTTGATCTGTTGAAAACAAATTGAGACATTGAGCAGTCAGTTTTCATGATTGTACAAAGTGCCATAACCGCCACGAATGACAATTGATAAATATGGCAATCAAACTTGTCTGAGAGATCATGATGAAGAACCCTCCTATGAAGTTTGATCTACTCGCAATATCATGCACTTTTGTATACTGAATAAGGGGCCATAACTCTGAATATTACAGTAAAAAAAATCACAGTGATTGAACTTGTCCCAGCTTTCGTGGTAATGAACCTCCCTATGAAGTTTGAAATTGGTGTGTTGAAAACTATTCAAGTGGCAAAAGGACATCATGTGTGTACAGCTGCCCACTCACATGATAACATCATACATCTGATCTTACGTCAGACATAAAAGAAAGTGCCTGCTGTTTTAAATCAGACTGAGCATTGACTTTGAAGGAAAATTTGATATATGAAACAATAGCTAGCACTACCTAACAAATATGTTACTTACCTGCCACCGACCCATGTCGTTCACCCTTGGCATCTTTTTTAAAGGCATATGATATGGAAATAGCTCTATTACACAGGTATTGGCCATTCATAGCTTCTATCGCTGCATCTGATGCCTCAAATGAGGCAAAATTGATGAAAGCATAACCTTTGGAATTACCGGTGTCCGGGTCTCTCATTATCTGATAAAGAGTATGCATATATGATGGAGACATTGATAACGAGACATTTTGTTTGAAAAGATATTCTAAAACACAGCAGTTACTGAGCAATTCTTTTTAGTGTACATAGTCTACTATAAAGGGGTCAGCATAGAAGTTCTGACTCAAAATCAGTGGATTGGCTTATTGCATGTCATCATTGATATAGCACTAGCTAGAACATTAACACTTATTTCTATTTCTTAATTCTATTGAACAGTAATTTCAGACATGAAATCATTGACAGAAAAAGTTCACTATATTAAGTGTGTAAATTAATTTTCTACCACAATGTGTTGCGTTATTCTACTCTGAGACAATTTTATAAAGATGGTGACAGTTGGATAAATGTAACATATATCACTAGTGATAAATGACCTTGATTTCTTCACATCCCAGCTGTACAGTTACTTTATTCTAGGTATACCTTATCATTGTGGTAGAAACAGGCCACACAGACCTGAGATTGTTGTACATGCTTATGCTATTTCTTTCTCCCTTGATCGATATTTTTCAAAAGTTAAAGCTAATATATTTCATACTTTTGAAAAATAACAAACTGGAGTGAAAGAAATCACATGTTTTAACAATTACTTGTTGTGTAACCTCTGTTCAAGCTAACTCCCATATATCTACAGTATCATGTTTCTATCAATTTCCTGTGACCTACAAATCTACACTGATTTTGAATTAAAATTATTCCTATTTCTGAATATTGGATTATTTTTATACCTATCCTTCCCTCTGAAAATCATCAGTCTAAGAGTCAAAGTAAGTGTAGTGAAATTGTTTATGTACAGTATGATATCTCGTAATTGATTAACTGGGCATGATAATGTGTCATAACTCAGGAATTATACAAGACATTGAAATCATTCTTCGTTAACACTGTCTTTAGATCAGGATAGGCAGCCATAGCTCAATATCTTTGTCTATAACATCTCTTAACTGTTCAATAAATTGATGTCTTTTGCAGTGGATGCTATTTTACATAGAGCTATATCTTTTATCTTAGAATGTAATCAAGCTAACTTGCCCTACCCTGTCTTCCATAAAACCAGCTAATAACCTCTTGAATTTCTATTTTTGCTGAATTAAAAATATCATGCTTCTTGAGGCCGACACAAATACTTATATGTAACAAGATAAGGAAATCATCACAAGGGGAGGTAATTCACATCACATTTTTGATTGTTTACCTTAGGTGTTTGTAATATAACACCAAATGCACTGAATGTATCATACAGCAACTTCTCGTCCACCTCCGGGTCTAAGTTTCCTATAAAAATATTGGCACCTACATCCAAGTTCTTCTGATGAGCAGAGGCCTGTGAAAGGGTAAGCAAGAATACTATATAGCAGTGCACAAAACAGTGTACTCAGCTTATCCACGCTTGTTACAAAATTCAAGAACTAGAAGGTCTGGTAGAAGTTTGCACCTGTTCAATATTAGACATGCATGACATGACAATACTTTCCTGAACATTCGTTTCAAGTATCATGTGAAGCACTAACAGAGTCAGTTAAATGCCTAGGTATTGAAAATTTAAAAGGTATTTAAATTCTTAATGAAACTGGACAGTAATGGTCATAAGTTACATATCAGTATGAATACAAGGATATCACACAATTGCATTCACATTGCTATTAATGCAAAAATGAAATCTGTCAATAAAACATCCAAAATTTGCAATAAAGAAATAAAATTACATTATTGAACTTAAATTATCCCTTAATTATGAAACTGTAGGAAAAATTTTTATACTGAAATATACGTTACCTTGTTGACTCGTATTGGTTTACCATATAGCTTGATCATATTCATTATTTTTATGGCATAATCTGCGTCATCTTCTCCCATAAACTCAACAAACCCATAACCTTGGTGACTCTGGGTGACACGATCCTTTGGCATATGTACATTCACTGAAAATCATAGTCATGATAATGTTTTACTAAGACTGAAATAATGTGGCTTTTTTTCTTTAACAATTAAAACAACGAATTAAACTCTCACAAAAATCAATCAATATAATTTTTCTAAATTTTGGCACGTAAACATTTGTAATTTAGAAACTGGCTCCAGCAAATTTTCATAATTAGCTGTTCTACACACTTAGCTTTAATATATAATCTACAGCTTTAATAACAAAAGAAAACCTCCAAAACCCACAAAAATATTAACAGTACAGACATAAATAAATGTGTAAATAACAAGTACAGAAAATTTTTTTTCAACTTACCAACAGGACCAGCCTGAAGGAACAACTCCCACAGAATAGCTTCCAGGACCTTTTCATCCAGACCACCGACATAAACTGTCGCATCTGAAAAGACAAACAAAATTATTAGATCAAATTCTAAGCAGTCTTCCTCCTCTCAGAGATTTTTTTTATAAATGTACATTAATATTACTAAATTAACATGTTGGTAACCAGCTCTACAAGATAGAGTAGACCTTGATATAGAATGGATTTGCAGTATTGTCTTCACTCCTGGACCACTGAATTATTAAATTACTAAAGGCTAACTACTAAATTACTAAAGGTTAACCACTTAATTACTACAGGTTAACCACTAAATTACTACAGGCTAATCACTAAATTACTAAAGGTTAACCACTTAATTACTACAGGTTAACCACTAAATTACTACAGGCTAATCACTAAATTACTAAAGGTTAACCACTTAATTACTAAAGGTTGTTCGCAGTATATTATCAGATATTTATTTTATTATGTGCAATGATTCCTTGTATGCACCTACTCACATTGGTAACATATAAGTTATTTGTTTTAAATAAACCAAATCAAACTTTAAAGAAACATATAAAAGCATAATTTGTCTTCAATTTCCAGGAACAGACTGCAAAGTCAACATTATTTCTACTCAAGTTCTTTAATCCTTGCTTGTGTTGGTGCATAATTGAAAATGCAAGAATGCAAATTAAATGTATATACAATATATAATGTGCAATATTTCTTTTTACAATATCATTTGAACGCTGACACATGCTCGAGTCATTTATTTTCCTCACTTTTTAAAAGGATGAAGTTGTGTTGTTCATCTATATCAAGTCAATAACATTGTTTATATATATATATAAACAATATTAAATGTGGGTACAATTTTGAAAACAAATTCAAATCTGCAACCACAGACCGGATCAATACACATTTCTGTATATGATGCATTGTGTTAATTAATGGATACTTGAACAGGGTAACAAAAAATTGATGAAGAAAGACATTTTTTGACATGTGCCAATATGGGCTTTGAACTCAGGACCTATGGCACCAAATTGTCTGACCAATGCAAAAACACAAGAGAACTGTACGAACAAAAGAAAACCAGTAATCATTCTACCAGGAAAAACTGAGTATTGCAAAAATTTTTTTGTTTGTTTGTAATGCAACTGAATGAACCGTTTGGAAGACAGTGTTGTCTCGATCACCAAGGTAGAGCCTTTCAAGCTCTAGGACGCTCTCCATCTGTCATATCACAGCCAACAATGAATACATGACGTACCAACACACATAAAGCTTTCATGAGTATGACACGCAGTTGATTTCATTTTACAATTTGATAAGTTGATTTCGAAAGAAAATAATCATAAGAATGATAGTTCGAAGAAATATTTTTAAAAACTACACACATTTCACTGTGATTTTAATGATTTTATGGCACAAACTTACACAATCGTCTTGAAAACGTTTCAAAATATACGGATCAAAACAAATCAAAAGTTGATGGTGATACAACATAAATGGCTTGCAACTAATTTATATCAAGAACATAACTCGTTCTGCCCTACATGCTAGGTGAATAATAGAAGATGGCAGTGACTAAAATATTCTGAAATCAAACTATTGACTGGAAATGTATACTACGTTACAAACCTTGATTTCTTTCTGCAATTGGACCGGCAGCCATTCTTACGCCATGCGTGCCCGTCGACTAAACGCACCTCAAGTGTAGAGAGTTCCATCTAAGGGATAAGAACGATGGTAGCAGTATCGATCTAAAGTGTATGTAAAAGTTGATAAAAAATAATTCAATGTAAATCAAATAAGACGATTTCAGTAGGTTTTTGCTTCATGTCCAATGAAAAATAAAATATTTAATTCAGTATGGTCTTTTTATAGGAATAAAAACAGTCTCATATCACCTGCAAAGCGATATGATGGAAACCTGCAAGATTGTCAACGGTGTACATGACCGAGAAATGAATATCCTTAAATCTTGGAACAGTGACAGACTCACCCTAGAATCAGGTATCGTGTCCGATGAAGAGGAACAATGAATTCCTGTACTGGAAATTAACTGTAAGTAACTCTAAGTATATAAAATGTTATTGGAATTTTTTAAAGTTCAGTGGTGAAATCGGTAATTGTAAAAGGCGTTTCTTTTTTCCAAAATACTTAATAGGAGACATACTATGAACATGTAATCAGTAAGGCTTTTTTAAAAAGTAATTTTCAATACAGAACTTCAATTTTCTGTTGTCACATACTTAACTACATTGGATAAAAATGTCCTTCCTTTGTTTACTCGAAGTTTCGATATTTACGAAATTGCATGAATTCCCCTTCCTATTTCTACTAACAAAAACTAATTCGTCTTGTAACGTACATTCAAATAAACATTTTAGTTTACGTTGCAGCTCTGTATTTATATACATCAGTACTCGGTAACCATGGTATAATACTACGTGCATAGGATGTGTATCATTTCATATATGTTGTGGGTACTAATGTATATTAATTATATTTTCGAAATACACATTACTTAGAGAAACTACACATTAAACCACCACTTACGTGTATTGAGGAACTTGAATGAATTGTCAGTTTCTCAGACCAATGGAGAGAGTTAATTTTAGACTAGGTTATGCTGTATTTGTATACTGTAGAGGCGCCATGAGAGATATTAAAAAAGTGCAGTTCGTTTACTTGTGTGAGGATGGATGTAGGTAAAAATAAAAGACGGACGCTACACTAAAATGTGGTTTTGTGTAAGGATTTCAAGGCCTGTGTCAGAGTTATGTGCCTTGAAGATACTAATGACAGGAATTTTGTCTCACCGGTGACAATTAGTACGACAGCGGCGTTAACATATCATACTTGTACGGCTAGGTCTCTCTGATATCTAGTACGTTGACCTGATGCTCAAATAGAAATAAAAAAAATCAACATGGAAGAAACGTGATAAGGCGGGAACAAATAATGGAAAAGATAGCAGAAAGACAAACACCTCAAGCCTCTGGGCAGAAAATGGTTCTGACAAACTGACAAAGCGGACCAGATATAGTTGTAACTTTCAAAAGAGAGTTCGTTCCTGGAGGTCGCTTCTAAAGGATAATACCGATTAGGCTCAATGTTCACGTTTTGTCACATAATGAAGATATTTTTGCGAATTCGATTTGCATCTGAGTATATTTCTAGTGTATTTGGGTAAAAAGTCACGCTAAGTAGTAACATTAAGAATCAAATTAGCCACATTTCCGTTATGTTGACATTGGTAAGCTATTATAATAAAAGAAAACACAGTAAACTTCACGCTCTATCAAAGGGGCACCTGTTACAAAATAGAAAGAACCGCTACATGTAAAATGGTACTTATTATTTGTTTATAGAGTAACTCTGTGTGCCATGATAAAAACTTAGAGTGGAGATTTCTAGGCCAGAACGATAACTCTTTAAAATAATAATGACAAAAATATTAAATATCGCTCATCTGGTTTTGTTTCGCAGCCATCAACCCTATGTTCTCAGGGAGTTAATAAAAATATTTATATGTCTCCCGCTCAGTGATGATCCAGACCAAATTTGGACAGAAACTGACATTCCAACAGAAGAAGGATTTCAAAGAATTTGCTATATATCACCTATTTGCCCCCCACCCCACCCCACCCCTTTCCCTTCCCCACCCCTTTCCCTTCCGCACCTCACCATGGCTCCATGAACCCGATACCCACCGGTTATACAACACTGAGTCCCTTCACCAAAAAATGCGTCAGCTGAAATTTCGACAATTTCCCCAAGGATGCTTTTGACCAACGTCGGGTAAAATCACAATGGCGAGGGGTGATGACGGGAGGTGAGGGAGCGAGATCACGCCCTCGCCTCAGGCTCTGTGCGTGAGAGCGAGATGGTTCTAACCTGCCGTCATATCATTTTTCTCGGCAAAAGTCTGGCATGAAATTAACAAGAACTACTGATGGCAAAACGGAAAGCTTAATAAGTGGATTTGTCGTAGTATCTATCTAAATTATATGCTGATATTCCTTCTAGATTTCAATTACATCCAAATATTTACATGAGTTTATATCCTGGAATTTAAAGAATTGGCACGAGAGTCTAATATCATCACACGCTTACGCAAGATTTATGGATGCATTTTTAAAAAATCATATTTACATTTGTCCTTGTTGAAATAATGATTATTTTAATAAATACTCCCATGTCAATTTTTTCCCTCCAGACACCCAATAACGCCTCTCTTCAACTTATATTTGTCCCCTTCCAATCCTTTTGGTTATTATTCCCAGTACTTTTTATGGCTGATGTTATTTCACTCAGTACACGTTTCGGTTTATTTTGCATGTACACGTCTTCACAATACAATTTTCAAATCTTCTTATCTGCTTTCTCGCAGCCATACTTGTTATTGTGTTACTGTGTTTTTTTTTTTGCGTTCATACCGGGTATCAGCAGTTCGATATCATCATCTTTTCATCGTTACATGCATGTAAACTTATAACATACTCCTGTTCTTTTCTCTGTAGTTCCTAATATCCTAATTGCGATGTATTTGAAAATATTATCAAGTGATTATGACCCTAGTTCCCTCTATCTACGTACTCTGAAGAAATTTCCGTTTTTAGAGTTATACGTCTCCTTCATGGACGTTGATATTCTGAGCCTCTTGCCAAAAATGATCGGACTTTCACGGTCCTTATCACCACTGTAGATCCGATAGATTTGGATATGGAATATCGGGGGCACGATTGATGGCCCCACCTCCGTTGTTGTACTGAAAGCAAAATGGGACAGACGGATGGAGGGACGGAAAGTGATACCGCATTAGAAATCCATTTTTCCGTGGTTTTATGCTCAGCCATGTTATTCACGAGTTAATATTACATATAGTGCGCTTTGTTGAGAACAGAGACGTATGTAACACGCCTACGTTTCTGCTGAGAAACACGTGATGGATATTGGACAAGTTTGACAGGTGTGTTACTGTGCACGTGCTGAATTCTGGCAGGTGTTCTGAGGAAAGCATGATTCGTACGATGTGATGTATACAAATTGTATCGGCGGCAGAGACGTTGTACAATTTTGGAGCTAAGTATAAATCGTTACCGGTACAATCGAACCAAACAACGGGAAAAGGGAGGAAGAATGATGGGAACAAGGGAAAGAAGGAGGAGAAAGAGAATATCGATTGGTGATAGATTTCATCTGAAGCTTCCTGTTGGCACGCTCTCTAAATTGACAGATTGTGTGGCTATTGAATCAACGAAATTCCGTGATGAAAATAGTCACTCCAGCAATACGCATGATAAGCCGGATTATATCAGCATTCCCAAAGGTTCTGTACTTTGGTTCTCATTTATTGATTCTATAATGATTTGGTAAGCAGATTCATCCGCTGCTTATTTGTTAAAATTCGCCATCTGTACCAAAATAATATAATTTTAAAATATTCAAAATAATATTAAAACAACTGTCGGCATTTTTATACCAGTTACAGTAACTATAAAACGCCACATGTACCTGGGAATGCTTACAACATTTCGAGGATATTTGTTAAAGTCTCTTGCTCAAATCGGAGTCTTATATCACTGATTTAAATGTATTAGTCGACAAACTTGTTGAAGTTATTTCTCGATACGTGTAAATCGTCACTGAATGCCATCTTCTGGAAAGGTCGTCTGAAAACTTTTCGGAAAACTAGAAAATGAAAACGGTTTTTGTTAAGAATCACATAGAATTCCAACATTTAAATATATTAGATATAGATATCCTTTCCATATCCTATCGTATCAATATATCATGAACACACAGAAATCGTAATGTTAAAGATATCCAACGACATTATATAATATACATGTATCTTTTTAATGTATAATAATGCGTCATAAAAACATCTAACCAAACAGTGACTAGTGGTTTATTAGACATGATAATTAAATCTATAATGATTAGCTAAGTGTCATAGGAGGCCTTCCTGAGTGAGGAGAGGGTGGGGCAGGGGTTAGGGTTGGGGTGGGGATCTGTTATTATACCAATCTGACAACAGTGCAGTATGCTTTATAATGACTTATTCAAATTATTAATCTACAATGTAGATTGATAAATCCTATGTATTTCGTTATGTACAAACAAGACTCACGGACGGACTGGGATAGATGTGTAGAGAGATTCTGTACAGACATACCAAATTGAAAGAAGCACGACGAGGTTGAAACTAGATTTTAAAATGTTTCAGTCGACATTATTGTGTATACCACACATATAACATATAACTGGGACGATTATTGAAAATCGGTGACATCTACTCGTAACTTCTCCAAGCACACTCGCACACACACATATATAATACATATAGTGCGGATTACAATTTGAAGTCTTTGTGTTCTTTTAGTTACAAACATGTACTCTGTAACTGTCTCTTTATTTTCACCGTATATATAGATTATATTGGTATTGCATGTTCAGCCAAATATATTGCTTAATATAAGGAACTATATTGTGTCCAGAATTTAAACCCGTGACCATTCCTTTGTTATATACACAAACGTATATGATATATATATATACCGAGTAGGAATATCTTGGTCATTTTATCACAATGACCAATGAAATCGTCGTACATAAGGACAGCCAATCAGATACAAATAAAAATTACACGTTTTGCTGCACTGAAAAAAATTTGGCG